TACTTACTATATATATATATATATATATATATATATATATATATATTATATGTTAAACAGTAAATAAATATTATAACATGTCAAACAAAACATAGATCGATAGATTGTAGACTAAGATTTATTTAAAAAAGTATTGTATATCATAATTTTAATTTTGTAAACTCAATCCTAAATTAGTTTAAAATTGATTAGTATAATTTACTAAGCATTACATGCTTACCGTCTTTATTTTTATCAAGATCAGAAAACTGTAATCGTAGATTTTTCTCATGTTCACGAACATAATGTATGAATTCGGCTAGGCTGATATCTCCGCTCTTAGTACGATCTGATCGAGCCAGAAATTTCTGTAAAATTGTTTGGAATTATTTTTCAAATATATGCAAATATTTATTTCGATTGAATATAGAAAGCGTAGTTGATAAAAAAATATATACATAAAAATTTATACATAATTAATTTAACAAATTTATAAATAATTCAGAAAATATTAGGATATAAGACATTTTAAAATTTAGAAAAAATATTTTATTTGAGATTATTTTTAGATATGTATTATTTCAATCAAATTTATAATTTATATGCTATATATATTAAATAGAGAAACCAAAAAATTCTTTAATATAATAATATATTGATAATTTATATCTAACTGTGATGATGAAAATTTGATATTTATTTGAATAAATAAAATGTGTAATACAGATATTTAAATTCATAAAAATTAAACAAATATTAGAAAAATATAATCAACGAAGAAATTGCATTACCTTTAAAATTTCAAAAATTATTTAAATTTCCGAAATTGTAATTCCAAATATTTCCAAGTACTTGAGATTTCAATTTGTGAAAATCAAAATCTTAAAAAGTATCAGGAGAACATAGTCGGCGAGAAGATTGCACTATTTAAAATTCCAAAAATTTTTCTGAATTTTTAAAAATTACAATTCTGAGAATTCGCAATTTCAATTTATAAAAAATCAAAAAAATCTCGGAAATAAATAAAATATTGGGAAAATATGATGAGGATATTGCATTATCTTATGATTAAAAAATTTTTTTTAAATTTCCAAGAATAACGATTTCGAGAATACAAAAATAGCGAAAATTAAAATTTCAGAAATCAATAAAATGTT